CCAGTCGTAGCCGCGCCGGTAGTACCGCTGGGGGGTCTGGGCCGTGTGGTGGTGGTGGTGGTGGTGGTGGTGGTGAGGGTGGGGATGGGGGTGCATCCCGGCGTACCTATCCACCGGCCCCTGAGGGGCGTAGCCGCCGCCGCCGCTGTACAGGGCGGGATGGCCGCGGTGGGGCGCATAAGCCCCCCCCCCCCTCCCCCGCCTTGAAAGGGCGGCGCTACGGCGCTACCAACCGTGGCGACGGCCTGCGGGGCCAGGGGAGCCCCCGACGCGCCGCGACCCCCACGATAATAGCTCGTACCTCCCCCTAACGCACCCCTAGCATACCCGCCATTATTTGGATTCCGGTAAACCTCCTGAGGGATTCCAGTGTTTATATTGTTATTCCTATTGCCACTGTTCCCGTCCATTTGGTTCTGAACCTTGTAAAACGCTTTGAGGTCGCCTTCGTCTACCTTAGTTCAAACTATAATGCAGCTCCGGTAACGTGGAACAATAAATTGACAAAAAAAAAGTAATTAAAGACGTTCCTTTTCAAATAAAGTTAGGTGGAGAACCACCACTACAAAAGGATTTAATAAAAAGGAGCTTTTTTGATAAGAGATATAAAGCCTAAATTTTTAGAAAACAAGAACAAGTAGATAAAAATCATATTATTAACGAATTAAGCTAATCCTAGATAATGAATAAATTAACCTTGCGTAAACCCCAAAACAAAGCTTCTGGTTTATACATTTTTAAATGCAATTCCATGTCTAATTGTGCAACTGTACATATTTATATCGACATATACGTATTCCATAAGGACCAAGTTCTAAAAAAAATGGAGGGATTCCTCTTTTACTGTACTCACCAATAAGTCTTTCGGTAGGAAGAACCACCAAGCCCATCATTCATCTCGGCTACGGTTAACCGCATCTCGGCCTCCTTAGTGTTCTCCAACGCTTGATGGAACTCCCCATGGGTAAGGCAACCTGCCTGAAATCGGCACTCGGTGTCAGGTCCATCCTTCAGCATCGATGGCGGATCGTATGGCTTCAGAAGAGAATCCGTTTTCATGAAGCTCATCTTTAGGTTCTCAAAGAACCTAGGAGACCATTTCATCCGATATTCACGGTTACAAAGCTCTAAAATCCCGATTCCGATGTCAATGCTTAGGGTAGATGTTGGATTGCGATGTGTGTACTTACCTATTTCTGCGATGGAATCTTTCACAGCGGCCTCTACAACATAGCGGTTAACACCGACCATGTTTGAGATAGTAGAATAGTTAACATAACGCGGAACTGTAGCGTGATAATGGGCATCTTTCATCACCAACACGTTCTGCAGGTGATATCTAGAGGTGAAATCAGGCAAGAGAACTAGCTGGGGCTTGTTAACAACACGGGTGCTTTCGTCAAAGTACAGGTTCGAATTTACTTTCATGCTTGCATGCAAAAAGTCCGGCACAATGGCGGACTTTTTTTGTGCCAACAGATCCGCTAGGTGTTCGCCTAAGGCGAGCCAGATACGGTTCACCACACGGGCATCACCTTTCCCATTAGTTTGCTGATGGAAAAGGCCCTTAGTATTTGACACAATCTCAGCAATTTCACCGAAGCAACTTCGACATATTTTCCCAGTGTGTGTGTGATGGATATCCGATGAGCGTTCCATTATTATGATGTGCACAAGGGTGCCTACTCAATATTTAAAAAAAAATGTTTATTTTGGTACTTCAAGAAAAAATAATGTGAAAAAAAGTATTAATTTAAGATTTTCCATAAAAAATAAATAGATGTCGCTAAACAATACTAGAGGAGAAAAACACTTACCAATTGAAGTTTTTATAAGTTAATATTAAAAATGAAATAAATCAGTTAATT